AGCAAACAAGAATCATAAATTAGTTGGAGCAGTTATGCTCATCAATTTTATAATGCACTTTACTTTCCTGCAGTGCTTGTGAATGCTTCACATCAGTCATATCAGTTTTGCAATGGAATTACAAAGAGAGCTTTTAAGCTGGGCGATACACTGGGCGTTGAGCGGGTAAATCAGGCAACTGAAAAATGGGAGGAGGATGAACCACTGGGTGAACGTGCGACAAAAGCGGCCGTTTTGTATGCGAATATCAACTATCCGGAATGGAAGGAGCAGTATCCCGAATGGCCGGAACGTGTGAAGCACATCCATCGTATGTGGAGATCCCTGGACGCCAACAGCCGACAGCAGTACGTGAACAAGGCCAGGGAAAATCGAGCGAATAGAGTAAAGGTGAGCATATGTCATAGCGAAATTTAATTTCTTTGCCTTAAAAAGTTAGTTGCGCTGCGAAATGGCTGATATTGTTGAAATCAAATAAGTCCAAAAATTAGTACAGTCATTCGTCGAGTTTGACGTAAAGACGAAAGTAATGTATTTCAGCAGCCAAGGGCAAAACGCGTTTCTGCAGTGGCATCAGTTCCCACTGGCGTTGTTCGAGCTATTGTTGGTGTAAATCGATTTGGATTGCAGCCTGGGCAAGATCCTTTGAGAGGATATTGTCGTCCTGAGGTAGAATTTTTGTGATTTTTTTTTTGGTTAAAATGATGCGCTTGAGCACTCGGAACGGTATTTTGGATGTACAACAAAATTGATAGTTTGATTTAGGAGGTCTTTGGTTACGGCACATGATTCACTGGGGCGAAATTCTTACTGATTATGGTGACTGGTGCGTGTTACTGCTAATCATGATGTCAGAAATTGCTCGGAGACCATGTCAAAAAAATCTGCTATTTAGTGCTTCTTGCAGAAGTGTTTTGTGCCTTTACTGTTTAGACAGAATTAGCTACCTATAATGAACTTTTCAAGGTTCCATCAATGCCATATGCTGGGAACGAATGCATGGTTCGAAATCGAATGGATATGTCGGGAGTTCCCTCGGGTGTTCCCATGAATCAGCATTCTGGCGCACCTCAGCAATTTTATTGTCACTCCGAGCAGGTACGTTACTGTAGATTTTGTTTAAAGGCAGAACTGTCACCTCTGGGTAGTTTTTAGACAAATTTGCGCCGCAGTGACAATCTTATTTCATTTTTCATTAATTTTTTGCACCTTTCAGTTTTTGCAGGAAGGTGGTTCGTTTGCTGGTACATCCCAGTCCGGACCG